CTCGGTGACACCCTTCAAGTCGGCGCCCAGTGCGCCCAACCGGGCCTGTGGCAAAGAAACAGCCAAAAACTTCGGTGCAGGACCCCTGCCGGGGGTTCTTGCATATCAGCTGGTCATGCTTGCCATATGCTCGAATGCTTTTGCATAATATTTACCAATTTTACCAGTGGTTTTGTTCATGAAACCTCTGCAGCCTGTGCTTTGGATGACTTTTGGAATTTGTCCCTGTTTGTAAAGCCATGTGCTGGGCCGATGGCAGTGGATACCCAAACGACTCAGGTTATTTGGCAGGATATTAGATGGTTCAGGCTATGTACTGTAAATGTATAATATGAAGGTGCTCATCCACTTTAGACTCTACAACTTCACTCATGTCCGTAAGCTTGCACAGCATTGCAAACAATCTCAAACCCACGCGTTGCGACCCTTCTGGACATTTAGTGGGAACATCATCCCAGACCAAAACACCTAGGGTCGACTTGTCTGTCATTTCTGAAGATGCTTCCAGCACTGCTTGAAGCTTTAAAACGGGACAGTGAGGGAAGCATTGGCAAGTTTTGGCAGGCAGGAGGGGATGGCCGGACGGGCGTGAAGAGGTTGCAAACCTCCCGAACAGGAGAAGAAAAGGATGACGGGCGGGCTGGGACCATGAGCACAGTGCTGGGGTCTGCGAGCGCTACAAAATTCTAGGTAAAAACATATTTGCGTGCTCTGAACATAAAATCATTATACAGTACTGTTCTTGTGAAGCCACATGAATACTGGGATCCTGTGCAGCGCTTGTCTGGGAAAAGTGCTTTGGGCAACAGCGCTTGATCTTTTCTTATTAAGCTCACCTTAAGCTCCTTCACGGGAAGCTGCCACAGGCTCGAGTGATGCGCGTGATCTCTGGCCTCGCGCCAAGAAAGGACAAATGCACAAGGCCAGTGCATCTGTAGATTCACTGTAGATCAAAGTTGCTTGGCGATACTTTCAGCCAGATCTTTCGACTTTAAAGGAAATAACTTTCCATGATATTCCATGGCATATTGCCCCACACGGCATATCATGGCCTTCGGGGATGTGCTTGGCCCCATGTCGGGTGACGACGCGGCAGTGGAGGTCGGAGAGGTCGACCTTGAAGTTGCTAACCAAGCCTACTACTATGGCGGCTTGAATTGTATAGGGCTCTCTCAGAACACCTTTTTACAACATACTTTGGCAAATCATTGCACTTCCCCAGCAACCACACCATCCAAAATAACTATATACAATTATAACTCTGGACATATCCCCAGACAACATCTCAATTCCATGACAAGGCGCCGCTTCAATGGAGGAGCCTCAGACTCCTCCATGCAACTTGAAAAAGCTCACACTCACATAAGTATGCATAAACACCTGCACAAACCTCCGCATGTCGGGCTTGCGTCGCGTTGCTTTAAATCCTTTCCCATCCTCTTGTCTCAACACCTACAACAGCCATGCAGCGGGATGTGAACATTGTGCGTTTCCCGTTACAGCCATCCAAAGGATGCCCATTACAAGACTGTATCCGAACAAACCCCATCAGCTATGGCAAGCAGCCCAAACTGATCTGTAGGTCTGCCGATCGGTTCTTCAGCACTCCTGGTCCTGGCCCTCAATATTGTCTGCGTCACGCTTCACCATGGCTTCTGGACTGACGCTCAAGAAAAGGTAAACATCCAGGATTTGTACCGCAAAGCAGGGGTCTGCGGGCGAAAGGTTATGCGGAACGAAAGTGCAACTGGCACTGGAGTTCTTCCACTTGTGACATAGGCATCAGGGCTTTTGGCACGTTTTATCCGAGCCGTTTCCGCTTGGCGCTAACTGTGCCACACTGGCACCTTCAAAGGGGAGGCCAAGGAACTTAAAATAAGCTTGCACACAGCATACGACAAAGACTTGCCCACGAGCTCTGTACAACGTGATGCAGAAATGATGGACGGGACGTCAATGGCAAAAACAAATCACCTATCCCATACATCTGTGGACGCTCCGTGACAATCGACATGGAGTGCACCAAAAAGCCGTTGCAGAAAGCAATGCTATACAGTTTCAGTCAAGCCTTCAAATGCTTGAATGATTTGAAGGGCTTTGTAAGTGCCCAGCTCTGCCGGCTAGTATTTGCATCCTACAGCTCAAATATGCTCGAATGATCACGCCCTCGGAGGGTTCATGACCTGGTCTGAGATCTGGAGGCACATGCATTTAGATAGGTCATGAACGACCTACACTTTGCAGGCCTCCCAATTGGAGGTATCTTATGATTAATTGCAGTAGCTCTAGAAACCTGGTTGTCTATTTATGTGGTGGGACTCCCTCGGTTTAGTAGCAAGGCGCTACTTTTCATGCTCATGGCTTGAGGGGAATTGTCCTGGTGCAGTTCCAACGTTTTCCGAAAGTATATGCTTGCCCGTGCCCGTCTATTTCCTTGGCTAATGCGAGCCGCTCATTCAACAAAGAGCTGCTCAAGAAGAATGACCAGCTCGGTCTTCTCCGTGACACCCTTCAAATCCGTGCCCAAGGCAGTCAGCCGAGCCTGGCGTCGGTGAAGAGAAGGAGGCACCAAGCTCATTTTCTCGGTCCCCCGTCCAACATATAAGCTACTGGGAGCAAAGGGCATCGCTACTAGGAGCAAGGACGCTACTAGGGGCTCCTGGCATCGCTACTAGTAGCATTCTTGCTACTAGGAACAAAGTGAGACCTTCATTTTGTTCCACGGCCTTGAGATCCTTTATGGGGAGCTGCCACAAGTCCGAGTGATGAGCATGATCTCGGGCCTGTAGGAGAAAGCACGTGAAGGGATAAACACACGATGAACAAGATTCTCTTTGCTATGTGAAGGGTGAACCTTCTGGCACCCTGCTCACGGCAATGGGTGAGCCACCAACATGAGATTTGGCTGCTTTACCATGGTCCAGCATGCAAACTGCAAAAGATCTGCTTCAGGTGTGCTGTCTTTTTGTCTTGACCCTCGCTCTCCATCCGTACAGCTTTCCTAGCCAGAATTCATTGCCACCTCGGCTCTCACCCTTGCGGCCTCTGGTGACGTGCTGGGTCCAAAGTCTGGTGAAGCTGGGGGTGATGCGCACCTGGACAGCGTGAAAACTAGATGTCAGATTCTGGGTCCTCCACAATTAGACTGGTCCTTGTTGCAAGTGGCCCACCTCTTCAGTGGAGGAGCAGCAACATCCTCAGATAGTACGATAATTGTATTAATTATCAATAATGGTCCAAGCCTGTGCTATGACTTGTGCTATGATGCATTACGTGACATGTTGAGCCACTTTGTAAACTCATCTGGCACGCTCAAGGTATGCCTGTCTTTCAAGTCTGCGAATGTGCTGCAGAAAACATGACTTTTAAATATTCGGTCAGGTTGCTTGACCCTCAGCATGCTCCGCTGCTCGCTTCACCATGGCGTTCAGAAATTCGGAGACACTCTGATGAAGGCAACTTCCAGATTTGAACTGCTCAGCAGCGCCGAAAGCACACGAGCTTCCTTCATCTTCCTTGCAGCTGCGACCAAACTGACTACACCTTCAGGCAAGCCTTTGTATGGTGAAGCATGCTAACGCTGCAATTTTCTTCAAACTTCTTCTTACTTCGCGTCGTTCCCGCTTGGTGCTAACCCTCCTGTGCACATTAAAAGCGCGGGTGTGGCAGGAGTTGAGAAGGTGCTAGCGCAAAGCATACGACAAAGAAGTGCCCACAAAGCGCTGTACATGTTCGGCAACGAATGATGCTTTGGTGAATGTCAGGACTCTTTGGTCGGCCCCTCTCCAGAAAAATAAAGACATACTGAATGTGTCCAAAGCCATTCTTGACTTTAAGTTTACTTTGCGTGCAGTCTTTTTCGTGGGGAGTTCAAGGGTTTTGACCGACTCTGGCTGTTTTGAACAACCACCTGTTCAGCTTGACCCTGAATGCGGAGGCGTGGGCCCCAAAAGTTTTCTGTTGACATCAGCGCAAGCCAAAAATGACATGTATATGTCACTATACATAGCTGACATAGCTGCACTGTGTTCGAATGCTTGGATGATTCGAAGTGCACTGTCCAGACCTGTGATTTGGCTGCTCACTAGACCTCACAGCTCAAACGGCGGCACCCCCTCCGAAGATGGTTGCAACCTCGCAAGGCGGTCTTTTTCCTCTCTTCCTCATCTTCCTCTGAGAACAGAAACACGGCTGCACTGATCAATGAATGTCAATTAGATGCAATTAGTATACCTCGACCTGGAACAGCAACAGATCTGGCATATCCGGGCTGATGCAGCTGGAGGGCTGCTCCAGAAGGATGATCAATTCTGTCTTCTCTGTGACACCCTTCAAGTCAGTGCCCAACGAAGTCAATCGAGCCTCACAATTCAGAATCATGATACTCTCCCACGAGTCCAAATTTTCATATCTTTGACGTCAGGGTCGTGACTTGTAACGGCAACACTTTTCTGCACCAAACCGGACTGAACCGAAGATAGTGGGGAGTGCGTACCGAAAGCAGGTTCGTCAGGGTAATACACACTGAGACCCAACAAAGGGAAAGTGAGGTGGATGAGATTGAGTACGTGGACACAGCTCCAGTCGTGTTGCATCGTCTTGAACTACTCTACTCCCTCCTTCCTGGATATATAAAAACGCGACACCTGCATGCTTCCAAACAACACCTTCTTCAATCCCCTAGGCACTGGTGGCCACTTGTGGCCCACACCTTATAGAGTCTAGAGGGATTGTCATCATCCCCAGAATAAGCGTATCAAGCTCTTTGACCACCGTGCCAAATCTGGGCGGCGTGACCACATACTAAATATTCAGTATCCTTTCATTCCACCATTCTTGGAAATTTAATTGTTTGTCTTCACAGCGAATCTAGGTTTGTAGTTCTAGTCCTCAAGTCCCCAGGGCAAGCTCTGCTTGGCTCTGCTGCTAGGGCCTTCAACTCCTTCACAGGGAGTTGCCACAAGTCCGAGTGATGAGCATGATCTCGGGCCTTTCAAGGAGTGGAAGTTCGGAAGGCACCTACCAAGCGACCTCAAGTACCATTAAGCTGGCCAATGTTTCTTGAAACTTAACATATGAGCGTCGGACAATATTGCTCATTACCCGCAAAGGACGCTTATATTTTGGGCGAGCCGCCCCCATAGGTTTTCGGTTTCGGCATCTCTTTACATGTATTTTCGTGGTACCCTAACTATCGATCTCAGGTTTTCTTATGCAGTACATCTAATTACAACTCTTTGGGGTATTGGTTTTGGGTGGGCCCCTATCGGTTTTGCAATCAAATCACTTTTGCAAGAAACGATGTCCAGCCGAAGACTCCTGCTGACTTACAGTAACTTTGTGGAGTACTCATATCTGGAAATTATCTCTAGAACCTGCGATAGCTGGTACCGTGGCACGGGCATATTGCATATCGGCATTATGCAAGTGAGGACATGCCATTCCGAATCCGCTGCATTCCCCCCGCAACCGGCCCCGTGACCAATTAGCCATCATTGATCATTGATCACTGGGCTTACTTGTTTTACGGTGCTTTAGCATTGGAGCCTCGGGCGATGTGCTTGGTCCCAGCTCTGGTGTTGATGCTGCTGTGGAGCATGGTGATGCTTGCCTCAGGCTCTACTGCAAGTGAAAAACGCGGCTAGGCTCTTGGGCTGAGCCTCAACGGCTAGTGATTGCCAATCCAAATGTTCTTCAACCGGCTTCATGTTGAATCCCTTTTGTTTGTGACACTTCGAAACCATATATAGTCAAAATAACCATTATCTGCATGAAGCAAACTAAATTTTAGCTACGGAAATGCTTCATCTGGGCAGGGTGCCTGGCCTCTTGGCTGCAGGCTCCTGAGCTGCAAGTGAGTTCACGCTGTTCCGATTGATTCGAGGCTGAGGCTAGTGGCTCCTCATGCCGCAACAAACCCTGCCAGTATGAGAGGCCGTCAGAAAGGCCCGTCCTCAACACCATCCTTGGAACCAAGATGTTCAAAAGGGGTCTCCGGATTCAAAGGCACCTTGTCAGAGCAAGCAACATATCAAGGGCTCTTTGCATTCAGAAGGTTTTCTTGTATGATCAGCTTGGTTTGGGAAGGTCACATCTTCAGACAAGCGGACATTACTATGCATCTGGCTGAAAGACACATATAAACCATACTCATGGTACATGTGAACACTGCTAAAAGTAGGAAACAAAGCAAACCCGCAACACAGATCAACACAGCACCTCTGAATCCATCTCCTCAGCTGGACGCTTCATCTAAGCTTGGCTGTAGGCTGAGAAAAACGTCTCCGCAACGCCTTGGGCCTCTTACTGCGAGGGAGCAGTCATTGATAGTCATTGTCAACGCACGTTAGTAAGGGGTTGAACTTGAAATGGACCGAATTGAGCATGTATATATATATACGTATTGTACGAGAGGAATGCAACCATAGTTGATTCTTTACATTTGTGACTTTTTGTAGCGACTGTCGTTTTCAAAGCCAACAACAATTTGAGAACGGTAAGTATGTACACCCCCCCTCCAAAATAGATCTAAACATTTGCCTCCTCCTGGAGTATTATATAGGGAGCTTGCTTCTCCAACAGGTTTGATATGCCATTGCCAAAGTGGACGCCGTCAGCGATCCCCAATAGCTCGATTTTTTGGTCGCAAATCGGAAAAGGCCGTGCACAAAGATCTGGCTCTTAAAGGACAGGTCAGCCGCATGAATTGACCAGCACGCCGGATCAAGAAGGTGCTTTCTTGCATCCTAAATGAACAAAGCACTTGTTTGCAGTGGGAGGAATCGAAGCAAGGGATCCATTGCTGCGTCCCTGAGCTGGTGCAACCCGGCAGCTGAGTTTAGGACCCTCCAGCCACAACATGCTATAGCTATATTGTACATGATGCTACATGTGCCCGCTCAAGCAACTTCGCTAAAAACACTTGAGCGAGTCATGCTGACCTCCAAGCCGTAAACACAGGGGCATGGCCAATAGCAGCAATAGCACAATGCACCCAGTGCACCAAGTACTGAGTACTGCGTGTTTGAACCCAACGCGTTGCCTCCCAAAATACAAGGTGTTGAATGGCAACAGTGTTTGTTGGAGCATCGCAGCTCTGGTGCAGCAGGGCCGTTGTGGTGCCGGCCAACATCTTTACATCTCTTTACATCCCCCGCTAGGCTGCTCACACTTCTACAAACCTACAAAAATCCTACAAGCCAAGCCATCACTCATTGACTTGGTGGAGCTGATTTTGAAACTGGTTTGAACTGTATTTTGCCGTGCGCCTTCCATTCAAGTGACCGGAGGCAGTGCGGAGGAACATGGCCGATCAAGCATGTTGAGTTCAGTGGCACTGACTAGCATCATAGTTGACTCGATTTCGAAGTGCCCACGGGCTACAAGTTTCAATTTGGCCAAATATATGCTTGGCGTGTTTCTTCCTCATGACTAGCCAACTTGCCAACTAGCGAGTGCTTGTGATTAGCCAGGCGGTGGCAAACAGACACCACACATCAAACTATGCTCACCAAAAGCAAGCCCCATTCTATATGCATAGTGCGAGGAAGCAAAACAGGTTGTCATTGGTTGACGGGCATGTGATCCAGCAAAGGGTTGGAATGTCAGTGGCGATGCGTAGTAGCCACGGCTGTTCCACCACCTCACTAGGCCTGCCTTGTCCGAGACTCTGAACCCCCCGCACCCGCTGACGAAAAGCGCTCATGAGGCTGTGAGCCTCGCAGTGCACCTCCAAAAGGGAAGGTTCACAGGGATCTGCACTAGCTTTATGTCACCCAGAACCATGCAAATCTGAAAATTGGAAAACAAAGGGACACATCGATTTCCATGTATTTTGAAGACTATATTATATTACAGGAAAAAATGGAGGCAAACTAGAGAAGGGCACTAGCAAAGGAAAAGCCGCTCTGACAAGAAAACACCAGCTAAACAAAAGCATTCCAGGAACAAATACGTGCTTTAGATTTTGAATCTAGATCCGCAGCCAGGCATTCACTATTCTTTTGGTCTTTGTTGGAACTGACGGGTCCCACCCTCAATGCAACAGCAAGCAGTTTCGGAGATGTATCGTTTGTTTGCACCACACTCGACACTTTACATTGCTGTATAATATGCATTATATATATATATAAAAGTCACTCCACATCACATGATCAAATTGGACTTCACCGCCAACGGCACATATTAACATCACCGCCAATACTTCCTTTAGGTGTTCCTTCTGGGAAACTTATGTGTCGCAAAGTGTTTCCAGCAGGACTTTTCACCATTTGAAATGGATGAATGCAACCCGTCTCCGAAGCCTCCATTCACAATGTGGCCGCACAAGGTTGTGCTCTTGGCGCACACAGTTGTCGTGGCTCAGGCATTCTCGCAAAGAACCCTCGGCTGCTTTGCAAAACAGGTTGAAGTGCAGCCCTTGAAGAGTTATGAATTGTGAATCATGAGCAATGGTCAGGGCTTCCTATGAACATGTGGACTTCTTTTCTAGGAACACTGGTAATCGGCTAAACTTAGCCGAGCCAAAAAGCTCGAGTCCAGGCCAAATATGAATGCCACCAGCACCAATCTTGGCCGCCTTGGCAGCCCAAACTCTCAACACAAAGGCCAAGCAAATTCAAAGCCGGTCGACGAGCGATGTGCGAGGAAGAACAACTAAGTCCAGGTACCTGGTCGTCTGGTCGTCAAAAGCAATCAAGTGGCAAGAAAAGATATTGGGAATTCGCAACTCATGGCAAACTCTGCTCACGTGCCAGCCTTGTGATGCTTGTAGTAGGTGCCTCCTGGCAGTTCACCGGTTAAGCAACCCCAAACAATCGAGTTTCAAGGGTGAAGGCTGTCCAACATCACCTTTCCTGGCTGTCCAGCTTCACTGTACTTCCGGCCGTAGTTCTGCAGTCGCAGCTTGTCCTCGAAGCTGCATGATTGATGCTCTGCGTTTCACGGTTCAGTTCAGCACAACCTTCATACTGCACATGTCAAGAGCCTGGTGCAATTGGAACGGTAAAGAAGGGATTGATCAAGCTCAGCAACCCAAAATAGTGTAAAAGTATATAATCATTCCGAGGGGCCGGCGGACCGATACACTACAATCATACAAACATTCCTTAGCAGAACATTGAAGTTCAAGCAAAACTCGCCTTACTAGCCCCCAGGTCCTCAGCTTGCAGGGCAGTTCTGTCCACATTGACGGGATTGCCCAAACGCACGGCTCGATCGGCTCGTACCTCGTGCCGTTCTTTGAACACACACCTTGCCATTCACATTTTAAACATGCGTTCTCTTGAAGTCTTTGACTCGCGCTAGGTCAACTGGTCATGCCCAGCCCCACAAAAAATCACAACGACGACAACGATACAGAACCTAGAAACATAGATTTTGCACTTCAGGGCCTAAAGCGACCTTTGAACTTCAGATTTTCAGAACTTAGCAGGCTTAAAACTTTCACCCATCTGACCTTCAAAGCAATATGTCTTGTCAAACAGATTGCTGAGAACATATTACAAGGCAAGGCAGTCTAAATATATTGAAAACAACGACTCGCAAAGGTTGGTTCGACTTGATGGACGCAGGCATTTCATTGCATTTCATGCTTGCAAGCAGTAGTGGGATGGCTTGGCTTGCATCGCTCCAACTTGCCTTTTTGACACAGCCCTCCCTGTATAATTCAAACCAACTGTTGAACATGGTCACATCGTCGCCAGCTCAGACCGTCGCAATTATGCCACAGAACTTATATCAAAAACCTATATGCTTCCGGCCCGAAGTGCCTTTTGATCATTCTCCTGTCCTGCAAAACAATAGGTTGACCACTATTTATCTGTCAGGTCGGATGTGAGGCGTTCTGTTCCCCAGCTCTGATAGGAACACCTGCCTCTGCAATAGTGTGAACACTGCCCTCATGAACGACATAGCCAAAGTCCTGTGCAGCATCTGTAAGATCAAGTGGCTTGACAACTTTGATGTGAGCTTGAGATGCCCAACACCGTGAATCTGTAATCTGGCTGCCCCCTTCGCCAGTACAACTGACATCAAGAAACAACAGTCGAAGTGACAAGCTGGACGAGGCACCAGGCAGGTGGAATCTCAGAACATGTCTTTCAAAGCTTTTTGTTCCTCCCTTCCGTGCTTGTATAGCAACGTCTCCAGGCCTGAGGATTCCAATTTGCAACAGCAGCATAGCTGGCACAGTACCTGGCATAACTCTGCTCCCAAATGTGATCATAGACGATTCCCTTTCCTGACAAGAAAGGAGGAGGAGAAAGGACAAGTCACCAGAACAATGGTTTTTGGGGAGGGGTAGTTAGTTTTTTTTGTTGTATATTGTTATTTTTCCTCGCTGGCTTAATGATTTTGAAAACCGTTGGATGCAAATTTCCATAAAACATTGAATACTTCAATTGAGATTTGGTGATGTTGAAGGTCTTTGGATGCACATGTCCATTGGCAATTAGATATTTCCATTGAACTTTTGTGATTTTGAAGCTCTTTGAGTGCCAATAATGTTCATTAAACTTCTGAGATTTTCGTTGAGATTGTGTGGTTTCATGGAAACATTGTGATATTTGGAGATTTCCATCTTAGGTTGCTTGATTCCTTTTATGTTTAATATTGCAAAGGTCTTCAATCTAAGGTTTTTGATTCCATTCATTTTTAATTACAGTGCAGTATTGTTGCATATTGTTGCAGATGTCTGTAATCTTAGGATTCTGGATTCATTTCGTTTTTTGTGATTGCTAAAGGTAGCAAGTAATGAGTCCTTTTGTTTTTATCCGTTGATGGGTTTTCTAGCATATTATTCTAGGGTCTCCAACTGTTGGAGAAGCGGGGGGGGGTGGGGGTGTTGATTAATCAACGGACTACACTAACATGGAATTGCAAAAGAACATGTGTCAAGTTCTTCTCACAATCCTCAAGCAATTAGTTGACTATATACATTGATATACTACCCGACAGGCCGCTGGATTGACCTGTCTGTTCTTGAAAGCCGATCAGCCGTTGAAGTGCTTGATGACATCTTCGGCTGAAGTCTGACCATTCACTTCAAATACTTCGCCCGCCTGCACCAGAAATGGTTGTGACTCAAGTGGTGAAACATAGTAGTTTTGAACAGTTCTATCTCTGCGGCACCTGTTCCAAGTGGTCCAGGATGGGCAGGACATATTCCAGCGGAAACCAACGCCCTTTTTGCGCATGAGTGCGGTCCAACAATTTTTGATGGTGGAAAGGCCTTGGACTGGGCTGTCGGCAGCAGTCAACAACGATCAACCATCAATGGGGTGAAGGAACGCGCCAACCCCAAACCACTCTTCAATCTTTTTGTCAGGCGTTCATCCTTATGCCATTGAATAGCTCCCGTTTCAAAAGCCTGGTGAGTTGCATGAGTCAAACCCCAAAATGCCAAGATCACCCAAGATCGATGGACTCCAATCTATCGGACCTATCGCCAAGCTGCAGGAGCGGCAGCACGATCCATTGAAGGTGCAGCTGAGATTGAGATGGTGGGCTATTGAAACCACACATGATGTTCTGACCTCAAGGTTTGTGCTCAGTCCTCCAATCAAGGACAACGCTTATGCGCGTGCGCGCACACACACACACAGCCACACACGGAGAACAATTTGCCGTGCATTGTTGGCAAACAACCTGCAACACTCCCAGACGTGGCCAATCAACCACAATGGCAAAACATGAAAAGCCACTGATGAACGCAGTACATCGCAGTACTAGAGACGACTTGGGAAACATGCCACAGCCTTCTTCGAACACTCAGGCTTTGGCGGATCATCTCCTGCGACTTTGCACCAATTCAAGTTGCTTGTTTCGAGGCGCTTTGACAACGGTAGGTTAGTTGCTTGTTTGGTGTCTAAGGCTCTGCGACTGGCTCTGCGTATCCTGCATTTCCTGCACAGCACTAATGCCAGTAGCTTCACAGATTCTGGACAAGCTCCTCCGTAACGCCCTCTTTGTAAATGAAGCGTCGCCACTCGGCCTGGCAACCACCGGTGAGTCTGAAGCGCGAGGAACAGCAATAATACCAACGATAATGCCATCATATAACTCATCATATACCATCTGTATGAGTTTGACACCCCTGAAAAATAACACACATATATATATATATATACACGTAGCAGTTTCATTTTTTGCATGGGGTGTGGTAGATTGTGTAGATTGCTCTTGCGGCCTACCCATGCCAACACAGGGCAAACTCGGAAAATACTGTTTCGGACACGCTCTCGGTGCCCTGTGCAGCCCTGACATGCCATTCTGTCTGTCTACTAAAGCGGACATGATCTCAAAGGAACCATACAGGCTACAGCTTGCAAAGGCTTTCATCCAGCACAGCCGGCTGTAGTCGGTATCAAAACGGAGTGAAGGTTGCCAGGATGCAGTTATTGCGTCGCCAAGAAACATTGTCCAAGAAAGAGCGTGTAGCTTCCCATGCCTGAGGCAAATGGAGCAGCGGTGGTTTTTTCCCTTTCTTCTCTCCATTTATGGGGTGGGAGCCAAGCGCCTGAATAAACAATTACAAATTGGGTAACTAATGTTGGACAAAACAGATTTGTAGAGTGCGGACAGGAGTCAGCCCGTTCTAATGATTTTTCGATCCTTTCTTATCCTGCAAGTGCATCATGACACCAAGCAAATGCCTCCTGCACGAGAGTATCAATGAGTTGCTTCGCTCCCGTGGGGTCCCTGAGCAGCCAAATCCAGTCCTGTACAGGGACCAAATACAGTGCTTCACCGTGTCATGTGGAACGTGACGCAACAAAAATGCACACTTGTTGAACCAGGAACTGTCAAGGCCCACTCGCGCAGCTGCAGTTTGTATTGCTGATGGTAAAAAGCACGTGAGGATTTGTTCTAAACAAACTGCATGTTCCAGATGTTCCATCATGCTCCTACGCCTATGTTTTGTATCATCGCCATGATCATACCACCATCATCATCATCATCGTCTCATCACCACCACAGCCATCGTCACCTTCACCGTCGCAAGCTCAGCGCACCATCATCACCACCATCATCATCATCATCATCACCGTGCAGATATGCAGCTGCTTTTAACACACCTGTATACATTGATGCAGGTGTTGAAATACAGGTGTGGAGATGCAGGTGAACACACCTACATAACCACCTGTGCAACTACAACTTCGGTGGCCCGGCCGATGCTCACGAAACGCGAGTCTCTACGGAGAATGTGTGTCGGACGCGCGAAACTGTGGTATCCAGCGAGGCCGTCTTCTGCCTTGAAACTTGGCGAACGTGAAGGGGATTGTGGGTCTCAAGTGCTCAAACGTGAGGCGAAATGCGAATTGGGTTTGTCCTTTTTGAAGCCTTTGGCAAATTTGGGGAGATTGTGGGGGTCGAGTGCTCCTCTTAATGGGAGGCGGGCCGCAAATTCTTGGTGACGTCGGTGAACGGTGAACGCTTTGCGGACATCGCGCGTGTCGAGCTGCCGAGCCCGTAACTGTTGTAAACCAAGGCGCAACGTGGTGGAAGTTGCCGAAGCTCCTTGTCGCCGAAAACCAGGGTGGAAGCTGTCAAAGTGTGTAATCATCGTCGGAAGTCAGAATGGAAGGTGCGAAGGTGTGTAACTGTCGTCGAAAACCAAAGTGGAAGGCGCCGACGTCTGTAACTGTTGTCGAAAATCAGCGTGGATGGTGCCAAAAGTGTGTAACTGTCGTCGAAAATCGAGGTGCAAGGTGCCAAAGTGTCTAACCGTAACAGTCTCCGAAGACCTCTGAAGTATGCAGTTGTTGCTGATTTGGCCTCAATCCTGGCAACTTTGTAGTTCACAGTGCGGTGCGGGAAGTAGCTCGTGGGAGCGTGAGCTCCGAACTGCTAGCTTGGTGGTGCAAATGTGGTACAGGAAGTAGCTTCTGGGAGGTCACTGGCAAGTTTGTAGTGCAAATACGTACTAAAAGCAGGACGGGAAATAGCAATGTGCGGGAAGTGGCTTCTTGGAGCTCTGAGCCGCATGTACCGAGTGGCACACAGTGTGGTGAAACTACGTCTGTGATGTCGCTGTGCGATGCGGTTTTGCCTGACCTCGGTGGAAGGTGCGTTTGCCCGGCTCCGTGCCACGGGGAACGGGAAGCACGCGTATGTAAACGCAGCCTGTCGCTGGTGAGCAGGATGAGTGGTGGTTTCCTAGAAGAGTGCCCTACAAGAGTGTCCAACAAGAATGTCTTAGCCTCACAACCGTCTCACAAATGTCAAGCAAGAGTGTCTTGCAAGAGTGCCCCACAAGGGTGTCTCACAAGAGTGTCCCACAACACTGTCCAACACAAGTGTTGTACATGAGTGCCTTAAAGGTATAAGTTATATCCTGAGAGTATCACATCTACTTTGTCTTGGCATCAGCACCATGTTGATCATATGTACTGTAAATATATATTTTGTTTTGTTATCAACAATCATCATCATGGTAGTCATCAACATCATCGTTCCCTTCTCCTACTGTCCTTTCCGGCCACCCTCTAGCTTAGTTGACGTTGCACTGGCACCCTCTTGGAATCCACCGGTCCGCCACGTAGTGATTAGTTGGGAGCGCATTCAGGTGGCAGGAAGACATTGCAAGCCTCAAAGCCGCGTGATGCCGAAGTTTGTAAGCCAGTTCCCGAGTAGGCACGCCGCAATGTCACAACCGACAGCAGCAAAAAATACAGTAGTGCACTACTGCGACGCAACAAATAGATACAAAAAGTGCCCTTGGGCTTGCTCTCCCTGACATCTCAGTAAGTAAAACTGTTGGAGAAGTAGCATGACCAAGGTCAGAATGCGGTTGATGGTCGTTGCACAAACAAGAGCAGATTCTGTTGCGAGTAGAACATTGCCTTCCTCTCCTCTCCTCTTCCTCTCCCTCCCTCCCTCTTTCCCTCCCTCCCTCTCTCTCTCTCTCTTGCTAAATTAAAGGCTGTTTGTGTACGCAGTTATCTGTTTTCTCACTCTGAACTCAAGGCCTGCAGTCCACTGTATTCATTGTATGACTCACTCATTATAAACAGTTTTGTTCTTCACGCCGTCCCTCACTTTGTTGAACTTTGTCAACACAGTGAACATATCACCAAGCAATTGTTGCACTCATTGTTGTTCCTGGTTCTGTGTGTCTCCTGATTGTGCGCGCTCTGATTACCTTGCCCGGAATGCCGATGATGTGTTCGTTTGTCATTGTATCTCTGCCAAGCCAAAGTCCGATGAAGAACCTCGCTTCCAGCTTTGGGTGTGTTCGTAGTTGTGGGATCATGTAGTTGATCGTTTCGCCAAATTCACACAGTGGTGATTTGTGGTCTTTGGCCCATCGTCGATGGTAGCTCGTTTGTCCGTCATTGTGGACAGAATACCTGTCCAGCAGGTAAGCTGCATGTCTCACTATCCATGGCATGATTGGATGGCTAGTTCCAATCATCGTGTTGTACTGGTTGATGAGTTGTGTCCGGAGTGTTCGGATTTGTCCCGCGAGTGTTCGGTGGAACCTCTCAACTGCTCCTTGTGATTGTGAACTGTATGCTAGCGACTGTCTCACTGACATCTGACCTCCTAGCGTTGTTGCGACTGTCCTGAGTAGGGAGATCAGGAAGTCATCTTGGTCAGATTGTAGTATGGTGCTGCTGAGTGCTGCTTGTACACGACCACATTCCATCAGCAAGGTTTGTAGGCATTGTTGTAGGTACTTTGTTTGTTGCTGTCTGTCTTGTACCATTGCTGCCATTGCCATGCCTGTCTGCACATCTATGGCGGTGAAGATGGGAGTTGCCTGCTTGTCATTGATCCCTTTGATAAAGGTGATGTCGCATTGTATGACTGGGGTCTTGCTTGTTTGTCTGGGATGGTGGTCTGTTCTCCCTTTGTCCTGTACGCAGATTGGACACCATGTTCTGTATGGGAGATGTGTGAGTGCATGCTCTGCTCGTTCTTGCGCGGTTAGCTGCTTTGGTGTTCTAACTGCTTTTCCAGGTATTGCTTGCTGATGCTCGTCATCGCTTGTTTCCAGTTCTGCTTTGTGCTTGTCTTGCTCTTCGAAGTTTGCTGGGCCTGTCCATTCAAATGCTGGTGCTTGTGTTGTTGTTGTTGTTGTTGTTGTTGTTGTTGTTGTTGTTGTTGTTAATGTTTGTGTGAGGCCCCGGGGTTTGAGCCACCAGGCCCCGGTGTTTGGCGCCTCGCTTTGTTGTTCTGCTCTTTCTAGGCTTGGTCCAGCGTTGTTGTTCCATGTCGCACCATGAACCAGGCTTCTCCGGTCCAAGCTTGTCCCTGCTTACTTCTGTCGCTTCTTATGATGATTGTTCGTCTGAAATTTTCCAGCCTGTCGGTTGGAATTGGTCATGTCTTGTCGTCCGGCACGAACATTGATTCCTCAATCGTTTGTGTATCCTCACCAGGTATCCTTGCGCATTGTATTGCCACAGGTCTGTATTGCCTCCTATCTGAGAAATGGCAGGCGGAGTGCGGCTTTTCTCCTCTATGCGAGGCTCAAGGGCCCTGGGATTTGAACCCACGGCGTGCGGGAAAAGAGAGGTCCTCATGTGTCCTGGGCTGGTTTCCTTTGCGTTTCTCATCCTTCAGGGGGCATCTCTAGGACACATGCGGATCTGGTGAGGCCATACTTTGCGTTGGCCATGACCTTGCGAAGCAGGGCACTATTGCCCGCTCTCTTGGTCAGTGCGTCTGCGATCATTTGCGATCCCGGCACCCAAAATGTCGTGCACTTCAATGCACGGGCCGAGACGCAGATCACAGCAACATCTATCTGTGCTCGGCGGTCTTGGCCGGCATTTCCACTCCTTCTGCTAAGAAGGTCGTACAAAGCTTTGGCATCGGTCACGTGCGCTCCAGTCATGCGGTCGACGATCCGGACGCTGGCCACATCTTCAGGCTCGTTTTCTGGGAGCCTGACCACCATCAAGGTCTCGCTGCTGCCCAGCCTTGAACCGTCCAGCACATTGCTGCTCTCATCTAACAGCTCATGCCATAGAGCTCGGAGCCACTCTGCTTCGGCTAGGGCATCGTCCATGGCCAGTGCTTCTAACTTCTGACCCAAGGGTAGCCTTCACCACCCGTCGAAGCTTGTGGGAGCGCCAGCTGTTGATGCTGAAGTCGGCCAAGCCACCGTCCAAAATGGACTTGCAGGCATATGCCAGCAGGAATCCTCCTTGGGACTTGTTCTCCACGTTCGCCATGCTGGCGTCAGCCACTGTCACCCAAATTCCTGCCTTGGTTGGGATCGGCAGGATCCTCAGGAAGGCTTCCTTCGTCTGCTTGAGCTCTGCCACCGTCTTGTTGGCCATCAAGATGTTCTCCACGGTCGGCCCGCTTGATGACCAAGCCATGGCCATTGCACATGCTGCACCCACATCAGGGCGTGCTTCTTTTTCGATCCACAAAAGGGATCCGCCCATGCCTCTGAGCCAGGTGATCTCCTGCTCGTTGAGCTTTGAGGACTTGTCCTTGAGGCGGTCTTTGGGCAAGGTGACTGGCTTGAGCTTTTCTTCAATGTATCTTTTCATGCTCACCTGGATCTCGAAGGTCTTGGTCTGGGTGAGCGTCCTGCCAATGTACTCAGCAGACCCTTCATACAGGTCTTTCCACTTGCCGAACTTGAGCTGGGTGCGAAGTGTTGCCATCAGGTCCTGGTGTCGTTGATTTCCTCCTTGACAGAAGTCATCGACATCAAGGAGCACCACTCCTGCGACCATGAACTCGTCTGGACCGGACTTTTCTTCTTGGATGGCTGGCAAGTAGTACAGGCAGGGTTCAAACACGCTCTCCTTGTACTGGAAGGCCAGGAGGAGGCGCCTCACAGTCTTTCGCCGCACCGCTGGGGCGTTGACCAAGCCGTAGACAGCTGTCCTCACGTGGATCAAAGCTGCCTGGTCGACATCTGGGATGCCGGTTCGTGGCATGCTTGCATAGAGCGGTCCTTGTTCTCGCTCTTGCTGGTCGCTTTGGCCAAAGGCGCTGGACACATCCATCACGATCAGATGGCACTGGTGGCTGGCGATGATCTGAAGCACCAGCATCACTGTTGTAGTGGATGGAGTTGGGGCAAATCGCTCGAGCTGGAGGCTGTCTGGATCGCGATGGCCCAGCTAGGAGAATCCATCTTGCTTTGGCCTTCCAGCCTTCGCCAATCTCGCCGGTTTTCTTGGTGATGAGGAACCGGCTTGGCATGATGCGATGCTTGAATCTGTTCCGGATCTCCTTCAACTTTATTGGATCCGTGATCAGCTCAATGGCACCTGAGTTGACCAGGTTGCTGATTTCCAGGAGTTTGGCTTCGCGGAACAGCTTCTTTTCTGCTTCGGTGAGGCTTCTTTCATTCAGCTCTTTGCCCTGCTTGGTGAGGTAATGCAGAGGGAATTCATCTTCTGCTGTCTTGAGGGCATAGTAGCAGTCTTTCTTTTCCAGCATCTGGAAGGCATTGACATCCCGGCTGTTGGCAATGGACCGGGTAGAGGCTTTTGTTGCCCCATTCGTTCTTGGTGTCAGCTCGCCGCACACCGAAGACTCGGCTTTTGTGAGCGGTTCGCTCACTTGGCATTGGATCTTCAAGGGATCTTTTCATCCCGACGTCCACCAGTCTTGCATCTTCTTCTGGTGGCTGATCTTTCCTTGGCTTGGATGCTGGTGGTGCTTGCTCACCTGTGAATGGTTCGCCCGGATCTGGATGTCCTGGCTTGGGCTGGTAAATGAGTGTGGTCTCAATGCTTTGGACATTGGCTGGCCGTTTCTGGTGTATCTGGTGCACTGTCATGCCAGGCTGGATTGCTTCATCACGGATGACCTTGTCGGTGTCGAGGTCAAGAGTGATGCGTCTGGTGACGTCACTCCACATTGGACCTTTTGAGTTGGAGGCCCGGTATCGCTTGGCATCCACATCATATCGAACCCATTTCCTCAGCCCTGGTGTTTCAGCTGAGGATGATGAAGCTGATGCCTTTTCAGCTGACTGGTTTTCCACTGTTGCTTTCCAAAATTCATCACCATCACTGGCGGTGCCGAAGGTGAATTTGAGGTCGTAGCCCCAACTCCTCCACGCCATGTCCTCTGAGGTCGGTTGCTCATGTGCTCAAACACTTTGAAGTCCAGTGCAAACTGGGTAAAGAAACCTGCAAGGTCGAAGAATTTGCGTCAGCCCAAAGGCCACTGCCGGGCGCTAGTCACCCTCTTTGGTGTCAAAGACGAAGAGCTCGAGGTCGTGTAGAACAAGCCGGGGCGTCCCCCGCTTCCACAAACTTTATGCGCCCGGAGCCCCCTGGCCGTCGCCAGAGAGCTCCGCTACCACTGAGAAATGGCAGGCGGAGTGCGGCTTTTCTCCTCTATGCGAGGCTCAAGGGCCCTGGGATTTGAACCCACGGCGTGCGGGAAAAGACAGGTCCTCATGTGTCCTGGGCTGGTTTCCTTTGCGTTTCTCACATTGTTTCGGCTCCTGTCGGTGTCATTGTCATAGGTGCTAGCATTGCTATTGTTCCTTGTGCCGTTTGCCTGACCTGCAGCTCCATGTTGTCTGGGATGGGTACTACCGTCACTGGAAGATAGTATAGTCCATTCCTTTGTTCAAGTGTTGTGTGAAAGCCGTACTTGTGCTGCATTGAGGGCTGGTTGTTCAAAGCCTTGTTCAGTCAGTCTTGTTACTTACAATATTGGGTTGTGTACGTCACACACAAAGAACGGTATGACGATTGCTTGTTTGTTGTTGTTCTCCATGTATATAGATCCACTTGTATCCATAGACATGGATTTGTTCACTTGTGACTGTTCGTAGTTGTGGTCCCTGTCCTGGTGCCAAAGGGTATAGTGGAGATTGTAGTGCAAAATGTCTTGGGCATACATGTGTTGCCGCGCCGCTGTCGATCATCAAGTTGAAGTAATCGCGGTTTGTGGTTGCGTTGATTGTCGTCTGTGTTGTTTGTTTGCCTCCATTGCTTGCTCGTTCTATGTTCTTGTCTTCCATGCCTGCGATCATATGTATCGTTGTTCCGCTTTGCGGTGTAGCTGGGGGTGGTGGTAGTGCCATTTGCTGCTGTTGGCTGATGTCGTTTGTCCACCATTGCTGATCGTATGTCTGCTGTCCATCTTGGTACCATTGCTGTGTTGCATTGTACTGTGATGCCTGTCCTGCTTGATCGTCTGCTCCAAGGTTGAAGATTGCAACCCTGCAGTCTCTTGCATAGTGGCCATAGCGACCACATTTGTAGCACATGTTTGTTGCATCTTTTCCTTTTGCTCGTTTGATTCCTTCACTCTTTCCTTTGTTGGTGTCGTTGCCATGGCTTCCATATCCTTTACCTCCTTTTGCATGTGTATATCCTTTTCCTTGTTGCTTTCCTTTTCCTTTGTTGAACCCGTAGCCATTGTATCCATAGTTGTTGCAGCCTTTTCCTTTTCCTTTGTACTTTCCTTTGCCTTTTCCTTTGTGTTTTCCCTTTCCTTTGCCGATCGCACCAACATCCATTGGTGCGTGTCCTCCTCCGAAGCTTGTGGCGACTGCTGATGATTGGGCTTGTTGTTGTCTTTCCATTTTGGAAAATGCTGTTGTGGCTCTGTAGTATTCCATGATGATGTTTTGTGCTGTGAGTATCGTTTGATGGAACTCACTAGGAGTTGTAGGTGTTGTTGCAGCGGTCCTGTTGTTTCGTTCAAGAGGACTGCTATCTTCACTTGTTCTGGCAGTTGTGCATTGTTGTCCCTTTCGTACTTTGAGAGTTCAGACTCCCATTGCATGAAGGACTCCTCAAAATTGTTTGTGTCAAACTTGGGCTTGAGGAGTTTTGTGAGGTATCAAAGGCTTCTTGTTCCAACCGGGATGGAAAACCGGAGGAGCAATTGTCTGTACATCTCGAAGCCGTTGGCTTGCTGAAATTGTCTGCAAATTGTTGCCGCTGCTCCAGTTGTTATGTTGATCAGGAGGTAGTTGTAGGATCAAGTCCTCGCCTTTGTTGTGTTGTTGGTTGCTGCTAGGAGCTCACCTTGTTGGATCACAGCTCCGCTACCAGGTTGTTAAATTATATAAAGGCTGTTTGTGTACGCAGTTATCTGTTTTCTCACTCTGAGCTCAAGGCCTGCAGTTCACTGTATTCATTGTATGACTCACTCATTATAAACAGTATTGAATCAGTATTGTTCTTCACATCTCTTTCTCTCCTCCAGTTGCAGAATCTACTATACTGCATATGTATAATACTGTACTAAAAAGACTCTGCTGAACCATGGTCCTATGTTCTTCATGCAAGACAGTCTCGGAGGAGGTTTCACAATCAAACTGTACGTGCTCCGTAAAAGAGCTAAGCAGCAAGTCATCATAAACAATAGCATCGACCGTCTGTCGCCGCAAGGAAATGACCAAGGAAAACCTGGAACACACACATTAATTTCGTGACTGTGTTCAGGCACACACACACACGAATATGCTCAAGTGTTTGATTGATGAATATCACAACTAGTGAGTGATATCAAATCCATAAAACATGGCAGCAGGGCTTGGAGGTCTTCTCTACCCCAAAAATGAAACCCATCAGCACATTCCTTAATGCGCATGCTTGCAGGCACCGGCATCTTGGATGTGCTCTTCAAACCAGCCAAAAGCATTCAATGAATGGCATGAAAGTTGGCGACGTTGTTACTGAGCGAGACTCGATGAAACCAAGAAATGCTCTGCACTGCTTTTCAGCCAAGCAGCTCGGTTTGAGTCACAGGTACTGTTTCCAAAGGGGTACCACCTTGGCTGGAAGACTTTTGCACAAGTCTGCCATTCATTTGGTTCCTGGATTCATTTATATAATTCTTGAAAATGGACCTTTGGAAGGCTACTAGTAGCTTCCACCACAAATCAATGGTTTCAGGATCCATATTAATCTTCCAGGGCGTAGCTATTGAGCAAAAACATCTTTGCGCCGTGATTCATCTCAACATGTGCAAATGCACCTATAAAATCCTATAAGCCCTTTTACTTTCTTCACGCACAATGCATCTTCTGAGGCAGGCCAGGGACAAGCTTGACAGGCTTTCTGGGAGTAGGCGCACGCACGGAGGCATTGCACGCAGACCTGACAAGAAACCATTACCAGCTCTGAGTCTTCCAGAGCTTCTTGCACCAGTATCTGAACGGAGTTTTGAGCGCTGATCTGAGGGCACAGCCTTCACATTGTTGAAGAGGTACCTTGAAAAAAACTTGACAACACTCCGATTGATCAAGCAGTTGCAATAGAGATCCTGAAGTATACGAACCACAAAACCATCCCTGTAACCCTGAAAGAACCGCCACACCTTCATCACCTCCTTGCAGCACCCGGTGGAGCATGAACCCTTCAATGACAAGCATTCAACATCTTTTGACCACCTTTGAAGTTTACTTTGCTCAGTTGTTGAAATCCTAAGGTGCCGGGTTTGGCAAAGCTACGCAGTCACTATTGTGAAGAATCGATTCAAGGCTCTTTCAATCCATTTGCCGTGCACTGTAGCCAGCATGCGTAAAGTGGCTCGTGCACACAAGTGCAGTCAGCTTTGAAAATGACTCACCCAAATGTCGTGCTGGCCTGGCCAGGTCCTTGTTCTGCTTGGCTAGTTGTTCCACCTCAAGCTGCAAGGCAATACATGGCAAGAAAAAAACCTTGCCCTAATCTTCGTCACAGCCAACAACGAAGTGCAATGCTTGTTAATTATACAATATCAGTGGTGTAAGAAGAAGGCAACTGGCCTTCGACTCTATTTTATCGGTGCAACTTAAATGAGGAACAACACGTGTTGGGAAAAATGCAGTCTCTTTGTGCAAATGGGCGGAGGCAAAAGGCAAAGTGGCGATGTGCAGTGGGCGTCTTTGACGATGTGCAGTGGGCGTCTTTGACGCACCAAATCATTAGGTTGAGAGGTGGTGCGACTAGTCAGGTAGAGGTAGTGTTGCGTGTGCGATGTGTGCAGCAGCAGCAGCAGCAGCAGCACAACCTGTGTTTAGCTGATGGCAAGGTGCACTGACTGAATGCACATACAGTAATCTCCGATGAAGCATTTGTTGAATTGTGAGTATCAAGGACGAGGTGTGCATAGGATGCCATCCCAACAACGACGAAGGAGGAGGGAGGAAAAACCAATGCCAACCTCACGTGAGAGTTTCACCCTTTCCCGTGGTTCATCAATCCTTCATTCCTGGCATATGTCAAGTCCATCCGCGGCTCCTATGTACAAGCAATACTCTTTCCAATTGTCCGCACTATCCATGCGCGCCCTTCAAGCCAAGAGTCGGCCCCACACAGGGGTGGCTCAATCTCCTCCCAGCCGCAGGGAACCTGCAAGGTCCATGATGTGAACCCTCTTCATTGTGCTCGGCAAGCAGTTTCGATGAAAGGTACACAAATATACTACAGTATACGGCGTTGGCTGTTTTGGGTGCATCAATGTTTGTCGTCGGCAAACTGACCTTTCTGAAGAGCACATGGCATGACATGAAAATAGATAAAATATATATTTTCTCTACGATGTGCTTCCCATCAGCCTTTCAACATCTTACTCTATCATTGAGGACACAATCACAAGTACAGTAAATGCTATGCCCATTTTGTTTGCTATGACCTTTGCTTGCCCTGGTCAGGCCTCTGGGAAAGTTCCATTGAAGCCTGCCAAATAGCAGCCATTGCCAGGCATCAGAAACGGATCCTGGTCGATGTTGGCAATGAACACTGACGGTTGAAGAAAGAGAAGCTAGACCTGTTGCCATCTGTACATGCCTGCCAATCACATTCAATGAAACGAGTGCGAAGCCAAAAACGCTCAAGCAACATATTTTCTGGGTCATGCAATGGCTGCCCTAAGAATGTCAATTAATTGGGAGGGACTTGAGAAGAGGGATACACGAAAGGCAGGACAGCGGGAGGAGAATAAACATGTAAAATATGCAGTGTGGTGTTGGTGGAGTCGAACCAATCGTCAACTTGAGAATGGGGGAAAGGACCAAAATTTGATATATATATACATAGATATACCCGAGAAGGGGGAAGGACGAAAGCCATCTGTTTTTCCGACGGCGGATGCAGGGCTGAGGTGGGGGAGAATCTGCGAGGAGGTGCGGCAAACGGTTCCGGAGCAGGTTCCGGAGAAGATTCCGGGGCACGGGAGAAGGTTGATGAGGAAGTTCTGGAGAAAGGTTCCGGAGCAGGTTCCAAAGCAAACAAGGTTCCAAAGGGCTTGGACAGCGAAGGGACTTTCTCAGTGGCGCTTCGTGCTGTTGGGGACTTTACTTGCGCTTATGCCACTGAGCCGCCCAAAATATAACTGTAAGTCGCGGCTACACCTTTTTTCCAGAGACATAGAGACGCAGAACCATAGAGACATAGAGTCAGAAAACACAGAGAAGTTGCTATCAAACAACTACCATACTAGCACCAATACATCCAACCAGACTTCTCTGAAAGGATGACTAGGAGGATGGCAGGGACTATATGCCTCAGCATTGGTGTCACGAACCGTCATCCAAAAGTATTGCATAGATCCGTGACTACAACCCATCCTTAAACAGCAGGCTCTTCACCCCACCAAGCTGCCATCTACACGGGCCCCTTTCTGATAGGGACTTGTCGCTGCCAACCAACTACCATACTGGCCCTAATACATCCAACCAGTACCATATTGAAGCAATCATCATTCCCCAACAGCCTGCTCTGCTGGTCCAGTCAAAACCAATTATATAGACTAGGGTATGTTTTGCCTGCTTTGCTGCTCCAGTCAATACCATCTATATAGCTTCCTTGATTGAAGTCCAACAACAAATGTAAATTGCCCGGTCGTGCATGCTTGGCCAGGACATGTCGATACCCTTGCTTTTGAGAGCTTGACTCAAGCGATGGGGTGCAGGATGGCCAAGGTTTTGGTGTGCATGCTTTAGGTTCGTACCCAACTAGCCTCATACCTTTGCGTGCACGCTGACGTGTCTCACCGTTCCCAGCAGCCCGTCCGAGGCAAGAAAAGTGCTCACCGGAGCCCTTGATGATGCTAATGGTGCACCACTCGGCGTCAATTGCATCACTTGCATCACCATGCACCCCATTCTTACCTCCTTTTCAATGCTTTCTGACCCTCACTTTTGGGCGCTCTCCCCCAGCAGGCTCAAGGTTCACCCTCTCAGTTTTCTACGTTTTGGGCCCAACTCCCCCCGCACACCTGCTCAACTCACTTCGTTCGCTCACAAAGCCTCCAGCCTAGCCTATCGGATGGCTTTCGCAATATATGTATATCTATATAGTTATATGATAATCCTCAACGACAAGAAGCACTAAAAACAACATGTCATGTCTCTCCATGGGCTCAAACACTGCCCCAAGCTTAGAGTGCTCAACACCAAATAACCATCGAGGTGTCGAGGTGATCCGATCCACTTCGGGATGAAGCGGTCAGGGGGGGGATGCTCTGTATTGAAAAAGCAATTACAGGTTGGGGGGGGTTGAATTGAACTATCAATTATTAGATCCGGAGGAGCCCACACTTGCTTCGCAAGACAAACTGAAGGTATCCCCTGAAGGGCTACCATTCGTGATTTATGTACACAGCATGTTGTCCTTGACAGAAACAGGATTCCATGGACCGATCATGACTACCGTTGAATATTGTTGAAGACAGCTTCTCTGCAAATGCCTTGCCTGCAGCTCTTTGCAGCTCTTGCTTGGTGCCCAGCCTCTTTGCGTGGCGATGCGATCTTGGCGTCCTTTCAGCAAGGCATCCCGTGCAAGTCAGGGTTCTCGTTCGGTTGTCGTTCTAGGCACACTCGCACACGACCACAATTCTCCAACTAGGTCAGTGAAGAAACTCACGCAATAAAATTGTTTTTTGGAGTAAGCCTCTCTCCAACATATTCGGAAGGAAACCAAGTCACATGCTCTTTGTGCGCCCCCATCGTTCTACAGGATTTTGAGAACTTGCAGAAAATGAACAGGACCTTCAAAATACTTGACATCCTAGTGGCCCAAGGTCCATCATGCAATGCCCGCGGTGTCCTCCCCACTGCAAGGGGCCCAGCGTCGTCGCACGCGATCCAACAAAAGCTTCATCTGGCCAGTCATGACTCACCCCATCTAGACCACCATGGCGGCTGCGGAGTGAACTAGGCCTTTGAGCCAAAACGGCCATGTGCCAGTCAGCTCTCGCGAAGCAACATGAGATGAAAGGATGAGTCCTGTGGCCGATCTTGTGGTGATTTGTGGAACGTCGGGTTGGAAGACGTTCTCCGTTAACCACAAGTCAAATAGGTTGCCCTGAAAGAATCTGTTTCATTCTTTCGTAGGATTCTGCCGGTGTCTTTGCGGCAAATCTGGCGAGGTCCGACTGGCGAGGTCCGACTCTCGGCTGCTGTGAGTGAAACGACCGCTCGGCATCGGTGAAACCAACGAGCGCCCTAGCTTTCAATTCCACGAACAATTGTCCACGGCGAAGGCGCTAAAGCATCTAGCGCCTCAATTCAACGTATAAAAACAATATATATATATAAGATACATAGACATTACACACACGTTGTAATATGTTGACTCCTGCAAACATATGCAGCAGCCCTTCATAGCCTTTCCATTCTTCCCAGTGGTGAGATGTCGCAGCAATGGCATTTGCCACTTGACAACTCCCGCTTCATCACAGCTGATGGTCCGCCAAGTTCACCGAGCCCACACCTCACAAAGAAAGGGTCGTGCTTGTAGGCTTGCCTTGCAAATCCAACAAAAAAAAGCAGGTTGGCCCCACAAACGCCTCGCCGGCACTTATGCAAACGGTGTCATGCTTCGAACAATCTAGGCGCACTTGGTCGCCTGCAGGACGCAGGTCCCTTTAGCACTCTGATATATGGCTCTAATTTGCTTTTCAGATCTTTTCAGGTTTCTGCACCGTATGACACTCCGTATGACTAGCTCCCCATCCAAGCAATCAAGCCAGATGCGGCCAAAGAAGTGTTTGCACAAGCTGCTGACTGGTGACCCTGTCTGGGTCTGTAACCTTACGATGTTGCAGATTTCGCTGTAGTTACTCAACTGCGCAGGCTGCACAGGCCTCCTTTGAACTCAGGTCCAGGTCAGAGATCGCGGGATTGGCGGCATTCGTGAGCACTTTTTCTCACGGTGCTCGGTGCTGTGTCAGTTGTACGAATGCGGGCACCGTTTCCATGAAGCAACAACAAATTCATGAGCTGCGTGTCACTAGCTTGGAATGTTTGAAGGGGCCTCATTTGGATGGCCTTCACGTAGCATTCACCTGTGAGTTGCATTGCATGTTGCATCATGTTGCATTTGCTTGGCAATGCCAAACGGAGGTGCAGCAGGTGAGGGATGAGCAAATGGTTGAGCCAACGTCAACAAGATGAACGTCAAATGATATGGAAAGATCTCCTAAGCACGTGTTCGATGACGTGCCACGTTTTAGAAAACGGTTGGATGAGCTGCGCTGACCATGCAATTCGCTATATTGCGCCCATCATCCTTCTCTGACACGATGTTGGCCATCGTGGAGAAAGGACAGGTCTTCCAAGGCAGTCAAGAAGTCGAACACCTGGTTTCTAATAGCTTCGTGTTACTACTAATAAGGCACTTGTTACTAGTAGCGATGCACTTGTTACTACTAGCTATTAGAAACAAGGCTAGATCCGCACTTCGCCAGTACCGCTTTCACTTTGGAGTCCGAAGGCCCACCAAGAAGGAGAAGGGTCGCTTGACAGTCATGAGGGGGAGGAAGACGGCAGCGCTTGGTCACACAGGCGAGTGCTTTTGGCAGGGAATAAGGCTCTTCCTGCATCAAAATGATCAAGGGGGAGGAAAGAAGGAACTACACCATGTCTTTGTGGAGCTGCCTGGCGCCCTCTATCAGGTCCTTGGTGGCCGATGCTCGAGGGATGGCACCAACTGGCCAAGGAGGAGCTTTTGACGATCAGGCCTTTGCCAAGGCCTTCCTCCTCTAGTTGAAGGCTAAGCTGGACCCCAAACTCCAAGCTCCAATGATAAAAAGGGCCTCATGCGAGTCCTTCTTGGATCTCACGACAAAAAGTGGCCTAAGATGGCATAAGCATGCCTTAGCCATCAACAACCCTTCAAAGCCTGTGTGCAACTACCCAAGCCTTTGGGCTTCTGAAAGGCGAAAGGCCCTTATGATGACCAGTCGGGCCCTGTACTGTAGGGGTTCATGAGATTGAACTGCCGGTTCATTGTATTCTGCTAGTTCCATCTGACCGAGCACGCACCAGCATGTGGATGAAGGCTTGCTGGTCGTGTGCCGAGAGCATCAAGAAAAACCTTGAACAAGTGCCTGAGAGCTTCCTCAGCGTCAACACTAACGCAGGCACCGATTTCACCTTCTCCGATGATACATTCCCAGTACATAGAGAAGGTGGAGCATGCAACGGAGAGACACCTCCAGAGAAAGCCGTGAAGGTTGATCATGCAGCTCTGGCACACTCATCATGCGCTCCCAAATCGGTTAAGTTCGCACAGGACAGCCGGCTTTGGGATCAGTGTCTAGTCTTGCTTGAATCTTTTAGGTTTCCTGTATCATCCTTTATCTGGCAATACTTAATGTTGTGCAGGAATGTTCCAGTGCCAAACAGGTACTAAGTGTCCATGCCATGCCCTTGGATGATTGTTCTCTTCTTACCTCTACTACGTATCGGCGATCTCTTAACACAAAGGGCCCCAGGCTAATTGACAAGTTTAGTCAGAACACGATGTTGTTTACTGTTTTGCCAGTGAGTGCTGCTCGCACCCCTAGCCGTGCGCCTCAAGGATCCTCTCTTTCCAAAGCCTCCTGATGTCTTTGGCATACATCGACCAGCCTCATAGTGACTAGCAATGCGGATTGCCCTACTGAGCTTTCTACACTCAACTGTGTGACCCTTGTTGACCCGTGACATCGACGGCTACGGCTTCTGAGGACACATCGCTTGCCTATGTCTCCCTCATCATCAGCCCAGCCACAAATTCACGCATGAGATGAAGTCGTGCACGTTGATGACAGGCTGCAGGGTAAAAGGCACGACACGCAACATTAAATAGTTATATATAGATCAATTTTGAATATATATATATATACAGTATATATATACATTCAGTAATTAAAAGTACACCAGCGGTGAAACATTAACATAGGATCATAGGATTTGTACGAGCAAGATCGAACAATCTCAGCTTATCCTATCTTATCCTGAATCCAGCCTGGCTGGTCATTGCAGAACTGTGCGGGGGTGGAATCCAATAATTGAGGTGGTTTTGTGAGAGCGACATCCAGGATCAACTGGTTGGGGTTTACACCTTTGCTGTGGGATGGCATTTTTGAGGTGCATGCTGCATTACTTCACAGGGTGGGATCCAGTTCTGCATGCCTAGGAGCTAGGAGCATTTGGTGCGCACAGTGCATGCGGCGGACAAGGGTTACAAAAGAGCCAACGGTTGATTTGGGGTCTACGACATGGTACACAGGTGTTTGGGGCGTGGCAGTGAGCCCAAAGAATCGAGGAGTGGCCACTCTATGCTCGAAACATTCAATCTGACGGACTCGTGATCCATGCAGTGAGTGACCTAGAGAGTGACCCCCAAAGGGTTAGTTTTCACTCACAGCTGGCCAAAGTCGAGATCTCTCAAACAGCCAAATCAATTGAACAAACATCCTCAACTAGCCAACGAAGAAAACTTAAACTCTTGGCCTTTCGAAAGGCAGTCAAAACAATGAACTCTTTGCTTCATGACATGAGTGACCAAAGGCTCGATGCATACAAGAGAAACGAAAGCCGAAAAACGAGAGGCCTCACTGGAACATGATTCTTTGCTGGTCCATGTTCCTATGATACTTTGATTAGCGCCACGTTTTGCTCCTCACAAGGATCGCAAGCGAACAACTGCAAGGAATCTACAACGGACTGGTGCCACCATGACCGACAAACCGAATTTAATATTTAAACCTGCCACTGCTAGGAAGTGATACAAGTTATATATATACTGTATATCTTATCTGCAGATAGCACATAGACATAAACACTCTTGATCTAAGATCATATTGTTGCACTTCTGTATCATCAAGTCAACTATGTCCAAATGTGAGGCGAGGTCACCACCCAACCACTAGGAACCAAAAATCAGGTCAGAGGGCGGGACAGGTTCAAACTTGGAACGCTGCACTTTTCGATGTTTAAATTTGGCCTCCTCTTCCTCTTTGCCAGCGATCACAAGCCATTCACCCACCTGAGTCGGCATTGCCAACCCTCTGTATTGCCCTAAAATACGACAATTCATGATTGGCCGTAGTATATAAGTGACTGGCTTACAAGCACCAGGGGAAACGGACAAACAACGTCAAACAACCCGATATTGCTGTGAATGTGCAGCTGCTTCACCTTGAGGATCTACCTTAACCCGACACAGCACTACTGCTGTCCAAATTGTAGACAGCCATTATGATCAAATTTTGGATCTACGTTGATCTTTGTAGATCATCCACATTTGTACGACAAAAGCTGAGCATTATCATGATAGTCGCCCCAATACGAATCAAACATCATCTTTGAGGTTGCCGTGCGATGACACAAAAGCCGCCTAGCAATGGATTTGTTAGAAGCCACCCGATTACATAGCCAAAGTCAAAGAATTGCAGAACCGAGGCTGCAGCATATCGATCAAAATGGTCACAGTGGACATCAGGAAAATCCAAAGACCTGCAATTGTGTTCACTTCTGACATTTGATCTTTTGTTTCATTCAGATTCACTTCTGCAGGCTTCCCTGCAAGCCTAAAGAATTGTAAAGATTGTAAAGATCTGGCTGCTTGAGCTTAAACCAAGTCAACCAAAGGAACGTGCAACAACTTGAATCCTCCCAAAATCAAGGCTCGCTGGCATGCAGCCATCATGAGCACCATGCCACAGACTTTGTTGATCTTTGTTGTAAGGCAAGGTTTCTCTCGGTGCACTATTTCACTACAGTACTTTAAATTCATTGCTCGTGCCAATCTGCCGCCAACCCGGTCTTTAACTGTCAGCGGGGCTTTAATCCGGAAATGTCTTTTGTGTGGCAAGCGCCACGCCACACTCAGATAGGATACGGTAAATTCCCTTATTGTGAGTAATTCCTTGAACAGTTTCAAAACAAGAAACGCACGACTACTTTCAAAGGCATTGGCTTTCACTTTGGGCTACCATGGTTTTCACATTGGCCAAAGCAGAACCTTCAGTAACCTTCGGAAAAAAAGGCGCCAACTCGTTTTCATGCCCCAGGCAGAAAAGCCGTTCACCATCTCCAAGTTAATAGCACGCAACTCGCGAATGGACGAATCAAGCCCTGACGAGGACCCTTTCTATAACATCTAATTGTATGCCACTTGCAGCCTTTTTACTTCATCAGTTCACCCCAGGCCTCAACAACTCCCTCAGTGTGGCAGGGACAAGCGTGCCCCTCGGAGCAAACCTGCGGCAGTTGAGATGCGCACATCAAAACAGGAGGTGTGATGAGGTCTTGGCCTCCTTGGCCACGTGAGGGTGGTTGCAGTGGTAGCTGCAGTCTCTTCAAGCCCTCATGCGACATGCCATGGAGTACTACATGGACAGCACTTAGGCACATAATTTGAAGCTTCGGCACTCTGGAGAGTCCAAAAGGACTCTAGAGTCATCGAATTATTAGACCAACAGGGGTTGGAAGAACTGATCGGTCGCAGCTGGCAGCGACATTCAAGAATGTCTCGCACTCACACAGCAAACACGTTTTTCTTCCTGTTTATTTCTCGTGTGGCCTTCGAAATGCTTGCCGCATGTACTCCTCACTTGCTTGAAGTTCTGACCTGACAGCGGCCGTGCGGGAAAGCCTTTTTCCATTTGGCGAGAATGACAGGTTGACCGAGCTAAACTAGTGATAAAGCACATCTGCGCTTGCAGCTACAGCATCGGACATGCAATGGCTTTCAACCTTGCTGGAACATAAGACATCCCGAGACACTCCATGGCACTCTGTTCTTGACCAAGCTGCAAGGTCAATACCTTGCCGGCCGTGCAGCTCCGAACAGCCGGTGTTTGCGCCTGGGCGAGTGGACATGGTGGACGGCAATGGCAGCCCCGCGCTACTGAGCTTGATTGCCATTCCAGGCGCACAGCGGTGCACACCAGTCTTCGCTCTCAACAAGTTGTCAGCTTGTTCATGCGTGTAGGCCAAACCCTTGAGTGCACAAGTGTCCAAACGCAAAATGAAGGGACCTGCTCTGAGGCAACCACTGCCAAAATGCTGGCGCAAATACTTTTGACTTGATCCAGTGTCAAGCCATCCACCTGTTTGTTGTGTGCCAACAAAGGACCGTCAACTCCGTGTGCATCGGTTGAATTTCAGAATTCCTTGAAATCGTGTGGATTTGCCAACCTTACCTCCCGTGCAACCTTACAGTCCATTGAACAACTCCATCAGTTCGCTGGGGCACGGGCCTGGTTCAAATGACCCAGCCTCACAGTCGGCATGGACATAGATAAATGATGATAAATGTCTGTCCCTCCAGTGAACCTTATTGCCTGATAACTTCTGGAATATAAACTCGGTGGGTTGTATACCAACCCTCCAAAAAGGCTCCAAATACCACAGTCCAGAGTCGGACTGAACCAAGGCCAGCACCATTCCCTTGCAAGCTTCGCATTGAGGTGCAAGTCCTTGGAAAACAAACATGCATCCGACCACAATCTCAGCCACGCCAACCTTTCCAAAAAGATTGGAACAGCGTCCGCGTAACTGTAACTTGTAGGTCTGAAGGACGCGCACTGCTCTCCCACAGAGTGCAACTCCCCTCTCAGGTGCATGCGAGGCTGTGGCAAAGGCTGAAGAAGGAATGGATTTCCAACTGTCAAAGCCAATCAAATATCTCTGGGAGGGGAGCCACGCTCGTGAAGCTTTCGCAAACAATTTGATCACTTGAACATCAGCCGATGGAGCTCCTTCCTGGGACTGTTCAAAGTAGGCACCACTAGGTACCACAACGCAGCACGCTCCACTCCACTGCATTTTCTTTGCTGACTGCAGGGACGAAACATCTTGAATCAGTTGCTGCATCGTGTGTTGGTTTATCAAGTTTGGATATTCACTTATACAGGCCTCGGGGAAGAGGTCCCAGCCACAAGTTACATTCGGAACACAACCAACAGAACCATGACTGACTGCCATCTTCAAGCACCTTTTGCTTCCAAACCATGGCAAATACAGTTCCCGCTGACTTGCCCATTCCCACCTTGCCGCTGTTGAACTTGTCGAACTTTCGAAAGGCCTTGTCCTTGGCATATTCTGAAGTCTTGTCATTGCCACACCCAGGCTCAACCACTTAGAGCAAAAGTGCCAAGCATCAAATCTAGGATATATTACTAAACGAAGAGGAGTGGTGAATCCTGAGCTAAGGACTTCGTCAAATGCTTAATATGCAGATGCTTATATAGTTCGAGCGGGGCACACTATGTATATACTTAAAAAAGTGTGCAAATCCGCCAAGCAATATTATATATATATATGTCCGCCAACTTACATTCGTTTCAAGCGCACATGTAAAATATAAACATACACACAAGGATCGAGATATGCATACGCCTTGTGCATTGTGCAATGTAAAGAACAATACAATCTATACACTCTATCTACCTATCTATCTGTCTGTCTGTCTACCTCCGTAGCCCCTCCCCAGCTGCAGCCAACACTCAATTGCTCGCTCTTCCAATGGACTCAATTCCTGCAGTGTAAACATGCAAGCTTTTCAACTTGTACATGCGAGCAACTGAAAAGCAGTAGCAGCCAAGGGATCCAAGGGAGAGCTCCTTAGTTAAACTATTTGGAGGTCTCCTCTAGGTTCACGTCAAATCATCAATGGCAACGCCAAATGCAGAACTCCTCAACCAAACCTCACAAGAATGTCGACGGCAGCATGACACCACCGCTACGGGCTGGGGAACGATTGCAGCGCTTTGGGCATGTAGGGGTCCTTAAAGGTACCAGTCTGGGCTCGTGGTCCCCGCATCACTGGACGAGGCGTGGCTGGAGCAGAACCTCCTGCAGTTCTTTGCCGAGCGTACTGCTTCAGAATGCTGCATCAGTGGAGGGCTCCATCAAGGATCTCTGCTATTTGATGTTATTTGGTATGGTAGGGCAGTGGTCTGCATGATGCAATGGCAGGCCAACACCTCGAAGGCTTGGCAACTGAAGCAATTTCCATTCCTTTCCCGACCATGCCCATCTGAACACAAGCTAAGAAGGTCATCAACATGATTTGAAGCCACGCTTGAACCGTGCAGCATGTTAAAGTTGCCAAGAATTGAAGTGTCAACCACCTGGATGGCCAGGTCCACTGGAAATGGCCTGGGGCGGTTGCTGGTCGAGGAGTGAGTGCAACTTCTAGAACCTGAGTGAGGCAAAAGCGCTCCACATAGCATCAAAAAGAGCAGCAAAAGGAGGCCTCTTTGTTGTACTACTAGCTCGCCTTCGGTCGCTACGAATTGCAGTTATCTCTCACTTGTGATTAGCAGCTTTCAAAAAATATCTTTGAACCATGTTGTTTCTACTAAGGGGTGAGGACTTCGTTCCATTCACCCCCCGTGCTTCCGGACGTCTGAAAGAGGATGGCCTCTGGACACGAGCTCTTTGGCCTCAGAACATGGCCGTGGCTGGTCCATATAAGACAGTCTAAAAGTGAAAGGTAGAGTTTTTTGTGCCTATTGTGTTCGATGCGACGAAGTTGGCTCTCCTCCACTTCCTGGGACAAGCCTTCGGATTAACATTCGTCAACCAGTCCCCTTTGAACCTACCCAGGCCTTTAATCCATCAAGATCAAGTAAGTGACCTTCAAAAAAGCCTTTACATAAACAGGTTGCTTGATATTGCTTATAGTTAGGTGATTTCCCTTAGGGACTATATTGCAGTCAAACCTGAGTAGCTGTCCGCGGCTTCATGCGTGTGTGGTGGCGGAGCGGGCAGTCGGTGGGGTGCCGCCTTTGGAAGCCCCATCAATCCTGGCGACTCTGCGGCGACGGTGCTGCAGAAACAACGAGTTCTCCACTGCATGTTTCAAACCTTGAAGAGCTCATCCAGGCTTTTATGGGAGCTCGTGACAGCGATGATGGTATTTCTATTTGTGTAAATCCCTGGCTTTGCATGCCACTTGTTCTCGCCTGACAAAGCCCAGATTTCAGGCGCAACCCGCTGACTTGGCCACAGAATGAGCCCGATGCAAGGTTGTCACTGCACTCAGAAGCGTGTTCTTGAGGCATGTGCAACAACTAAACTAACACACATGCACACACAGATATATATATATATAAATATGTATACAGTAACACTTATGTATACACAGCAATGCATAATCAATTGTAATCATGTGTAGAGAGAGCAGATCTGATTCAGGTGTGCGTGTCCAGTGCATTCGTTCGCGTCCAGAATAAATGAATAGGCACACAAACACGTATTTTTCTTAATTACCAATGTGCCGCTGGTCTCTGGCTGAGGGCAGGTGTTCTGCCGCTTTATCGGTGACCCTTGGCACTGCCTGAATTAGATGAAGTTGCTTCCACCAGTTATAGCCTCAGCCAGGTGGTAGGCCCGGCACATCTATTGCTATTGTGCAGTTGGCTACCCCCGCATCCAAGGCCACTGGCCGTCACAGAATCCACTAACATTAAGAGATAGTCATACTGACCTAATGCCTGCTCGGCACATCGGGCAGCTACTACACCACAAACTCAACGTGGTGTGAGCCCAAATGCTTCCGGTGCACCCTGCAAGCAAAGGCAAACTATACATTAACCACTGTGGGCCAACTGTGTCCGCCAAGAGCCTCGCGGCGTCACAGTCGAGTTTGAACAGCTGTTGGACTCAGAAAGGGCAAAAGGCTCCTCAGATGCAAGTCATCTGCCTTAAAAACATAAAAACAACACACACACAAAAAAAAAACACATCCGATCTTCAGAGCCGGGCAAAACTCACTCATGTTTGAGCATGTTCTCATTTCAGCAGTTTTCCCTCTCGTGGGGCCGATGATTCATGTCTTGCAAAACTTGTTTCATGATTTTGTAAGACTGGACTTGTGATTTTGCTTGGGTCTCCATTAACTCCGTTTTTAACTGGACCTAGCTAGAGTATTGTATGCACATACATATATACATATATATAACATTAAATTAGATAATTTATGCATTGACTATACAAAATATCCCAGCGCGAAATCTGTATATATCTAAGGCAGGTTGGCACGAAGCACGTGCAATGACTGTTTGTGCCCTTCATTCCCGTTTTTTTCTGTGGGTAATGTTAGACTAATGCGAACGTGGATTCTGGGATGGTGACGCCCATGGGTGGACCATGGGCACAGCCTTGCCGGAATACTTTGGCTTCATAAGCTCGCTGCTCCATCTCCTGTCTCTGTGCCTAAGTTTGAGTATGATCAAACATCCAGCCAAAGCCCCTCGAAACTGAAAAAGAATGAGGCGTTGGTCCTGTAACATGTGCTCTCGCAGGAAGCTGCCTGGCTTTGCATAGTTCTGCCGAGGTGCCAAAGTTCGGAGTTCAAAGAAGCGACCCAAGCCACTCACTACCACAGGGGCATCTGAGGACTTCATTGACCTGCAAAGTTCTGGACCTCATGGCAAGTATCCAAGCATCCCTAAAAGCTAATGACATAAACCAGTATACACAACGCCGGTGCAATTCGATCTGAATCAAAGTATTAACTATGGCACGGAAGGGCTTCTCCAGCGAATATCACTCAGTCAAGTATCGTTAATCAATTTACGGTATGGAAGTTGATATATAAATAATATATATATATATAGATATGTATGTATATGATGCGAATATTCTATATCCGCCGACCCCTGCCTAGCTGACGCCTAGGCGGGGCGGCGCCTGGGATACCGCAGGGTGAAACGGAGGCTCAACTTGCTTTCGGCCAGTTGCTCAGCAAGACCTGCCTGTGGCTACCTATTATGTGGGCTGCTGCTACGCGGTTCCGAACCTGCTGGAGCCCTGCGTGGGCATCCCGCCTCAGTCCGAGCCTGGCGCTGGCCTATAGACACCCTTTCTACTCACCTGGGCTGCTGCCCGGGCCTAGCTGCGCTGCTGCTACGGGCTGCTACTCAGCAAGAGCTGCCTGTGGCCACCTACCTGGGCTGCTGCTACGCGGTTCCGAACCTGCTGGAGCCCTGCGTGGACATCCCGCCTCAGTCCGAGCCTGGTGCTGGCCTATAGACACCCTTTCTACTCACCTGGGCTGCTGCACGCCTCCAGCCGGGTGTCGCTACGCTACGGGCTGCTACTACAGCTACTACGGCTTTGTCTGGGAGTGGCCACACCAGCCTAGAAGGCCTTGGCCTGCACCTCTTCTCTTTAGGGTTTCGAAAGCGACGTTAGGCAGTGGGCACACCCCCCTTCCGACCGCTGTTGTGGGCAGATCCTACCTGCTCTGCTGCTACGCGGTTCGAACCTGCTGGAGCCCTGCGTGGACATCCCGCCTCAGTCCGAGCCTGGTGCTGTGGCCGCTGCTGCTACGCGGTTCTGAAGCTGGCTGCAAAGATTTTACTTGGGGTACCTTGCCTGTGCTTTGCCTGCAACTGTTCATTTTCATATTGTTTGGTCTAGCTTTGTCAGTGATAATGCACAAAACAATCGTTCAAGATCGTTTTAGGATTTCCGCGCTCTCCAGGCAAAAATGCCATCAGCAGCTGGAGCACTGGGACCAGTACTAATTAGCTGATGATCTGACCAGATCACTAGTATTTTACGCATGGGTGCCACTCACCGGAATCAGGTGTTAGTGTTGTCACTTGTGGGTGTGCGAAAGCATTTTGTGCATGATTGTGCACCGTGGCCGGAAATCAATGCGAGTGGAGGTGGGAAAGGGCTGGAATGGCTTGGGTCAAAACACATTAAAATTCACATTTTTTTTACGTTCTTCTGAGCACTGATGCGGCACATTATTATGTTTACATCCTGTGGGACCATGATCAAAATGTGAAGCACCAAATAATTGCATGTTCAGGATCCCTAGGGGCAGGTCCTTCCTAAAAAAAGGGGTTGAGCCCGTTCCCTTGCCGGAGGCCTTCGGTTGGTAACCGAAGGTTATATACGCTCGCCGCCCCTGCCGCCGACTCTTTTGGTCGACCGCGGGGATACCCCTGCCCGAATCCGGTCGACAGATGTAAAAAATGCTGTGCTTTTCAAGGGTGATGTCGGTTATGCGTGCCGCGTGGACAGGATTAATCGACATTTCGTGGGTGTCGGGCGATGCCCAACATAGCCTCCAAGATGGCTCAACTTAGGGCCAGCATAGGCCAACATGGGGCCCACATACGCCAACTTAGGCCCAACCTAGGCCAACATAGGCGTAACCTAGACCAAGATAGGCCGAACATAGGCTCAACATGGGCCCAAGATGTGCCCAACATTGACCACATGGGCCCAACTTGGCCCAACCTAGGGCGAAGATGCGCACCAGATAGCTTCACTTTGCTGAATACAGGCCCCACCAAGGCCAACTGACAGAGACAGAGACAGAGAAGACAGAGACAGAGAGAGAGACCGAGACAGAGGAAGAGACAACAGAGACAGGCGACTCAACATGGGGGTAAGATTTTCACACGCAGTCGACGTTGGGGTACTAGCAGCGGGGGCGAGGAGCGAGATGGCGGACAAGTGTTTTGCAACGGCTCTCCCGACTTTCGGCTTCTGCTCAGAGAAGCCAGGGCAGTCAGCCTCCTCCAGTTTGGAGGATGCTGCTGGGATGCCCCATGTCCCAGCCCCCGCGCAAACCTCTGTCTTGCAACCCTGTGTTTGTGATTGTTGCGTGCACCAGCCCCCGCGCAGACCGCTTTTTTGGCGCGCGCGCGCGCTAACCGCGGTTTGGGCACGTTGTGTTTGTACTTGTTGGTCTGTCTGTGGTTGCCTGCGTGTTAGCACCCATCCCGTGCACACCTCTGTTTTGGAACGGTCGGTGTGTCTGTCTGCACTTGACTCGGTTTTGGTGCGCAATGTGTTCTTCGTTTGCTTTGGGTGCATGTCTCTGGTGTACCCTGTCTTGGCGCGATAAACTCTTTCGTGTGTGGCACAGCGCGCGCGTCTGCTTGCAGGCTAGCACGCGCACACTTTGCCAGCATGTAGGCTAAGACTGTCCGCGTCTCAAAAAAATGGACTAACAAAAACACGACGAAAGTTCACGGCTATGCAAACAATCGACTTGCGGACAATGTCCTTGAGGGTGGAGTGACTTCTTCACGTCATCACGGGGGCTGTGGCTAGCTGGCATGAGCGACGCTCTTGTTGCCAGCTAACAGCTGCCGCCTCTCATCATCCGTCGAGCTCCATGTGCCTCCTCTCCTTCTGACGGCTCTCCCGACTTTTGGCTGCTCCATGCAGCCAGGGCAGTCAGCCCCCCTCCGAGGGATTGGTCTCTGTCGGTTTTTACCGAATCAGCCGTTTCCCTCCTTCTCCCCAAAGCAGACACACCCAGACACACAGACTACCCACACAAAAACTACCGACAAGACAGCTACGGAGACAGAGACCGAGACACACACACACAGTCCCTCACCCAAGTGCGCCGGCGCCCGGCTGTCAGGCGTAAGCCTCTAAATACGGGCGCCGGCCCCGGATGCCCGTTCCCTTGCCGGAGGCCTTCGGTTGGTAACCGAAGGTTATATACGCTCGCCGCACCTGCCGCCGACCCTTTTGGTCGACCCCGCCCGAATCCGGTCGACAGATGTAAAACATGCTGCGTCGGTTATGCGTGCCGCGCGGACAGGATTAATCGACATTTCGTGGGTGTCGGGCGCGCTCCAACATCAATGGCGGAAAATGTCCTCCAAGATGACCTGATAGAGGCCCCCCAAGATGACCCAACATAGGTTCCAGATATGGGGCGCATAGCCGCCAGATGGCCCTACATAGGTTTGAGATATGGGCAACATAGCCTCAAGATGGGCCGAGATTGCCTCAAGATGTGGCCATATAGGCCCCACACAGTCTCAAAAAAAGAGAGAGAGAGAGAGAGAGAGA